TAATCATAAATAATTAAAGCAACCAGTAAGTGCCTTGGGTCATGTGGGGATTGGCGCTTGCTTTGTTAATTAATAAATTTTAATATTTATTCACACTCATGAGGCTGCTTATTGGTCCATTGGGTTATTGGTTTAAATGGCTTGGGATTAGTTTATTAAGTTATTGTGCATGTAATTGTGTCGAGTTATCTGGGTATTTACGTCTTGCACTACATTGCCAATTTGAATTTCACAAGTTTGCCAGTCACATTTGGGGAGAACCACTGGCCTCCTTTCCCCTCCTATTCATTTTTTGCATTTTTCTCACTGGGATCTGTAGCTATACGTAGGTCCTAGTGATAAAAATGCAAAATCATATCCTCCTCACCCAACACTGGCCAGCTTAGTTAAGTCAACTTCTCTTTGTTGGCAATGTGCGAGAGAGACCGATTTTCACGTTCGATGTTGTATCTCTTTCTACCCATGTTGCAGTGCCATGCACAAGGACCCTCTTTCCTGTATTACCTACAGTAAATTTGTATGAATATTTTGTGTCACTTTCGCTTTCTCGCACCAGGTGTCACGTAAGGAAGGAACACCGAGTAGACGCAGTAGTTATAAATATATACTATTGGGGTGTTCGCAAACACTATTACTGTATATATGCAGTATATGACTCTTATTCGCCATCTTCTGGAACTTGAAGAAAGCAGTAAGTATTTTACAAGAATTGTGCTTACATAGGACCACCACCACCTTTCTTACACCGTGGTCGTACATTTGGGTAGTGAATTAAAAAAAAAAAAAAAAAATAAGTAAAAACCAAAAAATGGAAAGCGAGAACAAGTGCGCTCGTTGTTTGGAAATGAGCGCAACATCAGCAGCAGCAATAACACCACCGTTTCTCCCATCTTCCGTATCACCCACGCTGAATCTCATGGAACAGCTGCTGCTCGCCAAAATGGAAAAGCACAGCATCAACAGTGAAGACGAAGTTAACCAGCGGCAGCCTCAGTCCAGCGATGAGCAGCACAACGGCAGCAGCGGTGGTGCACCGAATACGGTTCGACGAATTTTGCTGAGCTCGAGCAGCGACAGCGAAAGGCCCAAGAGCTCGCTCCTAAGAACAGACTCGATGGACAGCCAAACGAGCGCCAGCACCTTCAGTTCGTTCGTCTCCAATGAGTCAAATAATTCTGGTAACGGTTCCGGCGGTAACAATAACCGCTACTGCCGCTGCGACGACTGTCTACTTGGAATTGCTGATAAGTACCAGCAGCCGAGCCAAACTGTCACGGGACGCAAGAAGGTATGGTTAAGGATTATTATTTTTATCCATTTCTGCTTCAAATCGAGATTTTACTTACTTGAGTGTGGTTTACGAAATGTTTGACAGTATAACAACTACAGAACGTGTATTATACTTACACGTTATACAACACGTACTTAATTCTCACAGAGCCGCAAATTGTGCCAGTCTTTCGAAAAATGATTATGCTTTTGTGCACGCGTTCAGGGTAAGGCGATGAAGGTGTGTTTGAATTGGTTTTTTTTTTTTTTCTTTTGATCTCCGTTCCAACGTACACTTGTGAGTCGATTGACGTTACGCGAGACAAGAGTGCTCTAAGGCTCACATACGTGTATATACATTTGAACAGCTTCTGTTGTGGTTGCTATTCTTTGATACTGGTTTCCTCAACTCTATGGAATTTTCGTCAGTTCTCTCTTGCACGTGCTCTTTTTTTCTTGTTTTGCAGCTGCTATTATCTACAGCTCTAATGGATTATTGGATTATACATATTAGTGTATTTAGATTGAGGAAGGATAAATCATCATTTCTTGTTTCTTTTGCTTGACTTATCCACTGAAAAATCGAACGTTCCGTTATTTGACAATTTAACAAAAGCATCTAGTTATAATAAATACAGTGTACGTATACTTCATTTTATGTATATTATCCTTAAAAACATTACCCATTTTCGCTGTGTTCTTCAATTCCTAACGTAAATTTCTCTTAGCTGCGTCACTCATGGATCATGCACACTATCTTAAACGGCTTTTCTATGGATCGTGATGATAGGTGATGCAGTTGATAATATAAACCTTACTTTTGTGGAGAAGTGACTCATGTAGCATTAGATTAAATTGAAAAAGTCATTTAGAGCAGTTAAAGACTACTAGAGGCCCTCAAAATAACTTTACCGAACGAATCGACTGGCTGGTTTGCGTTTGAATTAACTTGCAACTTAATGAAAACTAACAAACTCGTTACAAAAATTCAACAATTCAGCTATCGTACACAAGTTATCAGTATTCTAATTTCACTTTATAAATGGCTCAAATTAAACTATAAATTCACATAACTTTTATCTAAACACAGCATCATTGTAAATACGTTAATGTACCATGAAAATTACTTTTTTATTTTAATTGAACCCCCTATTATTTCTGAATTGTTTGTCAGTATAATTAATTAATCAAGATCATTCAAAAAAAGTTATAAAAAATAATATTCTGTGACATCAGTTAATTTATTGCCTGAAATTCGAGAGATACTAAAAAAAAGTATTTCTTGATTTCTTTGACTATACTCGACCATTTATAAAAATCGGAGAAAATTTTGTTAAATGCACTATCATTTATCTTGGTATAAATATAATTTTTTTTTTTCGTGACAGCTACTCTTGCATACTTTTTTTAAGTTGCTTCATAATTTTAGATATTTTTTTGAAATTTTGTATAACCTGGAAAAATCAAACTATAAATTTAATATCTTTACATAAAGAATTTTCCTAGCTCATGTTTTTTTAAAATCATTTTATTGCAAACTTAAAGATATAGAGCTGAAAATCTAGATAAAGATACAACCTTTAAAACATTATTACAACAACTTTTTTTACAGCAGTATTACTATTAATTAAATATAAATGATAATACTATTACTGTAAACGTTATTATTATTATTATTATAATTTTCTTTTTTTATTTTCTGACTTTTTCTTTTATTTATTTTTTTTAATTTTTTCTTAGGTGTATGTTGTTGTTATTATCATCCATGCTATTAAATATAATTATATAAAAAAAAACGAATTCTTGTAAGCAACAATCGAAGATCAGCGGTCTAACTCACATATGTATGTGATGGTCATTAAAATGTTTGTTTGGTTATTTATTTTTATTTTGCAATGTTATTTCTCCTCAAATTACGATATTTATATGTATTGTTAAATGATTCTTACTATCATTTATCTGAATGTAGTCCTACGCTCCTTAACAGGCCGTTGGACCAGCAGAAAGTCCAATTACTCACCATTTTATTGGAAAGAAGAGAGAGAATGTCGTGTTTGTGAAATGTATATTTTATAATACCTGTATCTTTATTTTCTTCTTTCGGGTCTCCGTCNTCAATTTGTTTCGGGTACATGTGCACAACAAAGCACGCAATCTTGGCAGGCGCGGACAAACGGTTATTTTCATCTTTAGGAACTGTGATAAAGTATGCAACATATATTGTTGCAGACAGTTGGCCCATCACTATTGCTTAACAATATTTATAAAATTAATAACAAATTACTCACCTTTTTGCTACGAAATCATGCGAGCTGCAGTGAAGAATATACTCAAGGTAAATGAAAGATTTATATTATTAAAATAAAGTATAATATTTAATAGACCACTTATTAGTCTTATTAGTTGGTATGGTTATTCCAGGTGGTAGCTTGGCCCTTTGTAAAATTACATAGCTTACATTCTTATTAAATATAATTTACTCATAGAAGAACACTAGGTTGTTGGAGCATGACTGTTTATTAAGCAAAACTTTTATAAATCAATATTTCGCCATTCCACAGATGATCTCTTCAGGATAACAAATATCTGTATATAATATAAACCTTAAGAATTACAAATGCATAACATAGATAATAATAATTATAATATTGAAATTACCATGTAGGTGCTAGGATAGCACGTCGATCAGACAGTTAATTTATTTCCCATATTTTATACATTATAACTGAATTATGAAGTATAAAATAGTANATATAATATAAACCTTAAGAATTACAAATGCATAACATAGATAATAATAATTATAATATTGAAATTACCATGTAGGTGCTAGGATAGCACGTCGATCAGACAGTTAATTTATTTCCCATATTTTATACATTATAACTGAATTATGAAGTATAAAATAGTATTAAAACATTTTTTTTTTAATTGTATAAAACAACAGTACGAAAATCTTTTTAAAACACAGTCATCAACACACCATGTGCAAATCATAAACCATACATGTGATAGAAAAAGAAGCATAGGTCAAAGAAACATAGAGACAGCAAACTATCGAAAAGAAACTACAAGCGAGGATATAGAAATGACTTGGGTATCAAACTTTTCAAAATAAGGTTGGAATTTTACGTGTACAAAGAATGTTACGATTATAAAAACCAGATTATAATTTAATTTTGAATTTGGATTTAACTTAAGAAAGAAAAATGTTGTATATTTTGTCTAGTTTTTTTGTGTCTAATTGTCTATTAATATTATTATTGATACATGTAATGAAAATCATTTCGAAAAATTCTCGCTTATATTTGCTTCTTTCCTGATTAAGAATTGTGACACGTCCAAAGTCAAAACCTTGTGTACAAGGAGTAATGTAGACAACGCCACCCTATTTAAATAAAATACGTAGCTTGGATACGTATATTAAATACGTAGCGGAAATATGTACTGTAATTACGTGAGAAAATTACGTAACGAATTGGAACCTTTCGTTACGTGAATTAATTACTTTTTATCTTTACGTGGTACAACCGATGGTCACCAATTATTCTTATACTACGTATTTTAAATACGTATTTTAATCACGCAACGAAAGTACGTAACACTTACAGTGTGTTTTTGAGTGACTGCTTTCAGAGCTCTCCGAAAGTATTCTTTTCTCTTTCTTGACTATGGTCATAGAAAGTAGTATTGGGGATGTTTGACTTGGTATAATAGAGAGCGATGGCGAAGTTGGATTTAATATATCTTGCAGTTGTAAGGTTGGAGACATACGAGTTTGAAATGTGTGTGTTGACTTGATTGGAATTTCATTTCGGGATTCTTCCAAAGCCTTCAGTTTCTGCCGTAATTCTGCAATAAGTGCATCTTTGTCGACTTCGGATTTATTCGTACCCTGTTCAGGAACAATGTTAATTTTTTGCTGATCCAAGACCTTTAACCTTGCTTGAACGTTTACAAAATCCGTAACTGACAGCACATGTTTCTGGAAAGAAAAACACAGACGTAAACGTATAACAAAAAAAATTCCATTATATTCTAATACATTTTTAAAATGAAAGAATTATATAACAATATGCCATACTGTTCCTGAAACTTCGTTCCTTTTCCTTGATTCCTTTAACTTTTTTGATGGTACGCTGCCTGAGTATGTTTTTCTCTCTTGTGTTTTGGCCTCATAGTGCATGTCCTCATCGGCAGATGAACTGCTCATATCTTCCACTAACATTTGCAGAGCATCGCTTCTTCTTAGTCTCCAAAATTTGTACCTTTTCTCGTTGCTTTGTAACATTTGAACGTATTCGCTCCGAGCCGATGCAGAGGTTGCGCTCCCTCTAGCCAAAATCAGGCAACATTTCTTGCATGTAAACAAACGGTTTAGAACATATATACATACGTACAGCTGCTTGTGATTGGCAGAACATATATACATACGTACAGCTGCTTGTGATTGGCACTTGGCAAGCTAGAGAGAGAACGACGATCCTCTCCTGCTGTCTTATTCAGCCAATCACAAGCAGCTATACGTATGTATATATGTTCTAAACCGTTTGTTTACATGCAAGAAATGTTGCCTGATTTTGGCTAGAGGGGGCGCAACCTCTGTATCGGCTTAATGAGAGTATTGTAATTAAGTATGTGCTTGAGTATTCAATAATGTTATGGAAACAGTAAGGTCTTACGTGCAGCATCCAATACTTGAGCTGGTTCATACAGTGGGTTTCCAAGTGGGTCTTCTTCATTTTTTACCATTTTTTATTTTGAGTAATCACCTAAGACAAATTTTTTGATGTCACCGATCGGCACATATTGAATTTTTTTGCTTTCATCAGCAATAAATTTGACAGCACCAAACAGTTCTCGGGTCGAAGATTCTGCAGGGCACTGTCCAGCAGTTCCATCGTTTTCAGGTAAATCATCTGAGTCGGGCATCTACAAAATTATTAAAATAATTTATTGACTTATTTGTATACACATACATACGTATGCCTGCATACGTATTTATGTACATATTTATCTGTACATACGCCGAAAATGTTAGTGGCAATGTTTATATCATAAATGCAACAGCGACTCAGTCCGGTGTTCTCGGAATCTAATAAAAAACGAACTATGCGAAGTCGCGTGAACCTAACTAAAACGCTAACCTACACTGCCATTGCAATGTTAACGTTGTCAGAAGGACAAATAACCGCCAATGCC